GGAGCTTTTTCATTTCCGATTCAATACTGTAAATAGTCATGGTGTCTTCAGGCGTCATGACCCGCCCCGGCAGGCTGCATGTCTAAGAGCTGATCCATTTCTTCTGTGTCACCTGGTTAGCACATACCCGTTGACAGTGTTCTCGGAGGGTCCCACTCTCTCTGTGCTGAGCTGGGAGTCGTGGTGAGCTATGGGAAGTACCCAGAAGCTGCTTCAAACCACTGGCTTTATTTTCTGTAGTCCCTGGGTCTCTCGCACATGCTGGGTCCCCTCATCTCTTTGAGGCAGGCGAGATAGAAGCCAGTCCTGCAGGCAGCACTCAGGAAGGCTGGGACTCGGGATATGAGGTCCAGCTCTGTCCCTGATCAGGGACAAGGGTTCGCTGAGGTTTCCTCCTCCTGTTCCAGGGGACAGGCACATGAACGGTGATTGCTTGAGTCTGGGTTTTTGGCCTCAGTCGCTACCAAACTTGAGAAGCTGATGATCTCCATGCTTTCTGAGAACAGGTCCGTGTGCAGATGACAGGCCCACGGGGACAGCAGGAGAGGAAGGGCACAGCCAGAAAGAGAGAGAATACAGAGTTCTTAAGATGTTTTTTTAAAGCTATGGATCATGATGAATAAATGAGGAATAAGTACATTTACCATTATGAATGAAATTATGCTTTCACATTTTTCACTAGATATGTGTAAGAAAAAAATTTAACATAGTATCTGCTATTCAAACAACAGAAAGAGGTGCCATTTACTGTTTACAGTGCATTGCGGAAATCAACGTCTAAATTTTAATTCAGAAATGTTGGCAACATACCTTCTTTTAATCCTCTAGCTGTATTATTCATTGACTTCTTCTGCATCTGAAATAAGTCAAATATTATTTTTAATGTTTAAGTTAAACAAGAAACACTATCATAGGAATGACAGCTAGTTTATGAAATGTGGCCTTTAAATAAATACTTTTAGAGACTTGACCTAACTTGGGGATTGCTTAAATAGAAAAAATAATCACAGGAATAAAATAAAATAAATTCCTACTTACTTTGATTTTAGAGAATAGAGAACATATATACCTGTAAGACCCCACAGAAGAACTACGTGGACCTTGGAACTACAACACTGAGTTTAAAATAAATCATTTTCCAGTGTATCTAGAAGTACTAAAACATAGACACCTCTCTCCCCCAAAAACATTAAAGGAGAGAACTGTCCTCAGGAGCTTTCTCTTGCATTGCTTTTGCACTCACACTCTTCCACCATCATCCTGCAAAGTGACACACTGTCGATTTTTTGGTGACAACTAATGAAAACATTTCGCGTTTGCATCATGCTTAGCCACTGGCGGAAGTGTAAGCCATGCATGTTTTTTTTTAACGCCACGCAGTCCGGTTTCATGACTCTGAAGCACTTAGACTCAATTCACCCACAACGCTGTCTACGAAACCTGAGCTTTTTTCTTCTTTGATTTATTATGACATGAAGCCAAGTGAGAAGAAACAAGCTGAGATCTCACTTAACAAGGGCCCGTGCTACCCTTCTCTGCATCAAGAAGATCATGAAAACACCATCAAACCATAAACCAACGCACATCACTTTAAATGGCTATTTTAACAACGATACACAATGAAAACTGGTTGTAATTTAAAGACTCCCTATCTTTGCCACCTCGGTATTCCTGCAGGTGAGGGCAAGACAGAGACATAAGTGAACTTCATTTTAAAAATTTAAGTATTTGCTTTACTTGACTACATATTTAGAAATGTTCTACAACTGCTCAGTAAGACATTTTGTAACAATTAAAATAACAATGCTATAAGTAAAATAGCAATTAAGGATGTACTCTTACAGAAGGAAATGATAAAAATTTTAAACTTAAAAATGGAAGTTAATGTTTTTAGTGTTACAAGTTTATTGAATTCATAAAAAGAATTTATCTTGTATTCCTTTAAATAAAAAACATCCGCATGTGGTTAAGTAGCTCAATGCCCATCATTTACTTATGCTTAGGGGTAGAAAAACTGGGGTGCAGCAAAACTTGAAAATTACTATCAAGCAATGCCAAACTGAAATCAATCAGAAACGAAGCCAAGCATTGGAAAGTGGATCTCTAGTTATTTGGCACGAATATATAATTTCTAAAATAGAATTTAAAATGGAGCTTTTTAAGAAATTTAAAATTTGTCAGTTTAGTTGCATTTATTGAATAAACTTAATGACAGGTATCTCTCGAAAATTACAAGTCCAGGGACTTTAAAAAATTGTAAAATTTCTGTCTCCTTTCTTTATTAGCACAACTAATTATGGCTTTTACTTAGTGTGCATAAGTCAAATAAACAACTCAGAATTTCATAAAAATTAAAAACAAGAATTATATCAGAAATCTGAAACCCAAGGAAAGAAAGATAATATGACTAACCCGGAACAAGGGATCGCTCTAGTTAGTTGAAGGGTCTGGAACAGTCCTGAAGCGCCTTCTTCGAGTGGGACTCCTTTCGGCCTCCGCGCTAGTACCAGCAGCAGGAGGCGGTTCGCCAGCAGGCCTTGCAGGAACAAAGGCGGGGAAAGAGCTCTTGTGCTGCTTCTCCAGCTGAAGCTTAGTGCGCACCTCGGCCAGCCTCTCATTAGCCCTGCGAGGATCGCAGAACACAGATTTCATTCATTTCATTTTCTTCCTAAGTGATGGGTATTTTTAAAATCGCTATAATAGTAAACAGATTGTCCCATTAAACTGCGTTTGAACACCAAAAATATGTCAGCGAAGACCTACTGTAAACAATTACAGTTTAAAACTGTCCGAAAGAAGGACGTATGTCCCTGGGGGGGGCCCTTAACTAACAAGTCCTTCAAAGTGGGGAGACTCAGAGATGGAGACGCCCCCACAGAGGATTCCCGCTGCCTTCTGCACCGGCTGCGTCTAGACATACTCACCCTCAGTAAACCAGTTTAGAAATAAAAAATAAAGCATCCCTCAAAGCCATTTTCAAGCATTTGCTTTCACCCCCCTTATATACACATTTCACTCATTACCTGGGAGAAATTAAGCATGCGGCACTGAGCAACAGTTTAGAGCCACCACCTCTGGGGGCACCAGGCGGCAGAGTCGATGGTGGGAAAGAACTACGACGGTGCCAGGGGCAATTTCAAGTGTCCCCCAACGTCCCAAAACTCACTTTGCTACTTCGCTCTTACCAAAGGCCTACATCAGCACTTGTTTTTCATAACCAAACAAAATCTCAGGCGGGTTTTTGCTTTTATGGAAAGAAAGCAAAAAGCCAGAATAGCGCTGGGCGTTTGTTTCAGCCCGAGCCATCAGAGGGGCAACGAGCGCCCCGAGCAGCGAGAGGGGCCCCACCGAGCTCCTTCCCCAGAACCACACTCGGTGTCCCGGCATCACGCCGCCACGGCTTGGGACTGTGTGTGTGAGCGCCTGTGCTTCATGCATATTTATTTTCTGCATCCACCAGCAAGATGTGTCCTAAGGTAACTGCCCCTTTGCTTTACACCGACAACTTTCACAGGAATGCTCTACTTTTGGATAGCGGGGAGGCCTGTAGCTTGTAACACTGCTACTCAGGCACCGGAGGTGGGACCCGCCCTTTCTGTCTTCCACACACCCCTCGGGCAGGCCACCATATTCTTCTTGGCCACTTTGTGAACCACTATACTGCCCTTCAGCCCTATGTGAATTTCCCCCTACTCCCCAAGCACGCCTTTATGCAGCGGAGACAAACGTAGACGGGTACAGTACTTCGTCTCAGGGTGCCCACGAGCGGTGGCACCGAGCATCACAATCAAGAAGGTAAATTCACCAAACACCAGCATGGGGCCCCTTGGGTTTGCGTTGCGCTCTTCCAAAACACAGTTAATTTTAAACTCATTAACATTCCTACTTACGGGAATTCCAGCTAGAAATTTTGTGATAATATGGCTGTCTAAATTACAAAGTTTGCAAAACCCCTAGCTTGAAGACTAGATCAGGTTAAATACATGCAAATATAAAAAACAAAGTCATGCAAAAGCAACAAAAGGCAGGGAGATGCAAACTGCCCTGGACTGACATTTTAAAGGAGAGCTCATTTACTAACACCATTTCCCAAAATTACACTATCTCGTTAGCTTTCACTTGCTACTCACCTCAGGAACCTGGCTCAATAAGAATTATGCCTTAGAGGCAAATTAGTGACCGCAATGATTTTCTATAATTCTACATTTTGACTTACGAGGTTAGTTGACTTGCCAAAGACTTTCCCTTTTCTAGCTCTTCCAGGTACGGTTGTTTGTACTTTTCCAATTTGTTTTCATTAGAATCACTTTTCATGTCAGGTTCCAGGTCTTTAACTCTGTTCCGTTTGACTGACTGAAGCACGTTTATCCTCTAACACGTTTTCTTGAAATGCTGCTTGTGCCTAAAGGAAATTAAAAGGATGCAATTTTAAAAATAATTACAACCTGAGTCATTACAGTCTATTTGTTCCCTTTAGTTTTGAGTCAATGACTCAGAGAGCAATTTTAAGTGTGAGAAAAAAGCTGAATGTTAAACTACTTATCATCAATGTCAAGTGAATTAAATCTGAATTACAAAATTAAAGTTGAATCACTCTTACATTAGTACTCATGTAATGTGATAGTTCAAAGAATAATAGGATCAATTTAAAATTTTAAAAACTGAACAATACAACCTAAGAGTAATCCCAGAGTGTGGCACAGCATTTACATCACAATATATTCTTTTCCTCCTAGTAGTCTTGATTTACCCCAATTGGTCTTAAAAATGATTCTCTAGTGAGAACTGTTCTGAAAGATCCATTTAGTGATAGTGATGATGGAAACTGAATTATTTAAAGGGAGTAACAAATGCGGCCTTCCTTCCAGAAATCTACAAAACAAACTGCTATATGGGAAGTAGAGGAAACACATAAAACGTACACATCCGAACTGTAATTCTCAGCGAAGTGAGTTAGAGCACGTTACAGATCAATGTCTCACCTGTAGAAACTGGCTGATTTCTTCCAGTTTTTCTACTACATCGCGTCTTCCTCGCTTTTCAGTTTCCCGTCTGTACTTCACAGCTCGCTTGAGTTTTTTCAGTGCTTTTACTACATCCTCTCTTGTTTCTTCTTCAGTCTCCCGTTTGTCCTGCTCCACTTGACTGCGTTCCACTGTGTTCCTTTCGAGGTGACATCTGAGGTTTACTACTTCTTCCTCCAACTTCTTCTTCTCCTCCTCTAGTGCTTCACGTTTCTTTTGCATCTCTGTCATAGGTAGTAACTCCTTTAGAAGAAGCTGAGTTTCTGCACTCAGATGGACAAGTACTGAAGATGTAGATTCCTCTTTTGCTGGAAGATCAGCATTCTGCATGAAAAAGATAAAATTGTTTGGTAATGAGGTAAGCAGACTGAGAACAGCCTAACTCTAACCCAGCATCAAAGGCTGAAATAATTCAGTTACAATAAAATGGTCTACCTATCTTGTGGAATGGAGAAACTCAAATTACTCAGGAAATCAAGAAAAAAAGTTCAAACCACCAGGAGTCACAAAAATATACTGTTTACTGTCATCATCTTGGTTATACATTTGTACTTGATTTTACACTCTTATTTTTCTGTAATTGTTTCATGTCTTTCCTACATAAAATGACTATAAGGCACCTCTTTGTAGAAAGTCTCTTACCCCTTCCTTCCCCAAGTCTTAACTCTTCATGATTTTTAAAGTTTTAGGGAGATCATATTGAGTTACTTAGGGCTGAATTAATAAATGCCTCCCAAAACAAGACTTTGAAAAAAAGACTGCAATTAACACATCTTACAAATATGGATTCTAATGCCATAAGCCTTTCTCTGAACTACAAGTATTTTATGCTAG